TTCCCGCCGCCCCCCCCCCCCCCCGGGTCCCTGAACTCCGCACCGCTTCCTCACGGGCCCTGGGCTCGCGGGAGCCGCGCGCTCACACGCACCCACGCTGCGCTGGCCAGGGGCCATCTCGCCACGCGCCGGGAGCTCGCGCGCGCAGCAGCCGGACACTCGAGGCTCCCGGGGAGACCCTGGGGGGACGCCAGTCCCTGGGGTGTCTCTAAGGCCGGAGCGCGGGTCGTTCCCAAGAAGGTTGAGGGCCCCGGGTAGTGGGGCCCCTCAGGGGAGGGGGCCCGCGGAGCTGGTGGTTGGGTCTATCGCTGTCCCGTTACCTCAGCAGGCCGCGCGCCGCGTCCGGGAAGTGCACTCCAACTGCAGCAGACTTGTCCTTCTGCCGGCGATACCACTCCTCCCTATTTGGTGGGGGGGTGTTCCGTACCCAGGACGCAACAGTGCCACCGGAGATGATAGCGGCCGACCTACGGCCTAGCGCGTTCAGCTCCCCGGCTTCGGGATGGTACGTCCCAACTCGACGGCGTCTCCCTTGGCCCAAGATAGTCTCGTTCGGGGAGCGTTCGCGATTCGCGTGCGCGGCTGCGGCGCTGAGTGGCAGCTGGCGCTCTCGGAGTGTTCAGCAGCCTCCGCAGTAGCTGGAGCAGCGGAGCCCAGAGGCTGGCGGCAGCTGCGGCAGCGGCGCAGTGTCAGGTATCGCTCTTCCTTTCTTATGCTTCTCGTGCGCTCTCCGCAGCGGGCGGACACTTGTTGCTCGGGCTTTAGTAAAGGGACTGAGAAGAAGTAAGGTCCCCCCCCAGCTAGTGCTTGGGTTTGTGCATGAGTGGAAAGTGCAACTGGTGGCTGCAGCTCGGCACCAAGTTGTGCGCCTGGTGGTGGGGCAGCAGGGAGGCGAGGGAGAGCTGGAGAGGGGCTTCTCCCGGGTCCTTCAGGGGATTCACCAGCCTCTGCTGTTTCAGGGCGGGGAGAGGTAGGACAAGACGCGGGGTGTTTCTGGGTACCGCTCGCTGTGGGATGCCTTTGTCCCTAGGGCTCGGGAGTGATTTGCGAAGGGATGCTCCCAAGGCGGCTTGCAAACAGTGATGACACGCTAAGAATTAAAAACAAAAACCCCGCAACCAACCAAACAACAAACCCCACAGAGTGCAACGTGGAGAGACTTAAAAAACACAGACAACCACACAAAAACTGCCCTTGGAAATTAATCCAGCCTGGTTTCACAATGCTGCCTAAGACTTTATTAATACCGTGCTTTCGTTTCCTAAGGGAAGGAGTCTCTATCCAAGCCAGATTTTATAGAGCTGATATTTGATGCCCCCCAAAACCCTTATTCTGTACAAATACAGATCTTTCAAGAGGAAGTAACCATCCCAAAGGTAACCGGAGGTGTGCCCCAGGGCACCCTACTGTTGCAGAGAGGGAAGTCTGATGTGCTACTTTACATTTCAATAATTTTTGTATTAAATGTGAAGTTTCTGAATTTGGTCACCTACAAATAATTGTGGAGGCATTTGTATAAAAAAGGCATATATTCTGCCAATTTTAAAGCGGACATCAATTGTTGATAGCAAGCAAATGGGGTTAGTGGTTACTAATAATATGTAAAAGTTTTAAATTAGAAATTATTTAAAAAATCCAAGTTACTTGTCACTGTGTACAGTTTATCCTTCTCTCAGCTTGACTGAAGCAAATCAGTGTGGATTGTTTTACTCTTGTTTATTGTCATTTTCACTTCCATGTTGTTAGTGGTGAATTTTTAATCCTGGAGGGGGATGTTTACTGGTTCAAAACAACCGTTTTAATTGAAAGGGAAACAAAATAGGGAGAGTTATAATTATTTTAGTTCAGTAAGAGAGTTCACTTTTACATAATCTAAATTAGAGCCAATTAAACTTGAAAATGGCCCTATAAGGGACAGATGTTAATGTGACTCATGTTGTTAATATAAATTTAAAAGACAATGTGTGGCCAAAGCAAGAACGTTCTAATTTAACACTGGCACACACCATTCTTGGCCCATTTCCTTGTGCCTAGGCAATAGAACTCCATCATGCACTGTTAGGAAGCATCTGCAATATCTAGGGAAAAGGACAGGGAAAGAAAGGGTCATGCCCCACTGAGAAGGAGTTGCAGGGCTGGGTAGACAAGGTGAAAAACGATCACGCTGTGTACACCAAAACTTAAGAGGCTTTTGGTAATGTGTTTTTGTTGTGCTTAGAGAATGCAAGCAGGTATAGTTGCTACCTGCTTTGAGGGCACATTCTTCTGTTTTGGGTAGGAAGGTTGTGGGATAGAGAATCAGTATGAATATTGATCATTTTTACTGCTCACTTGTGTTACAACATTAACATTATGCTAATTTTCTTTATTTGAAGTGGTAATTTTCTGAAGTTATCTGAGATTTAATACAAAGCATAGTGTGGTCCCATTACTGCCCAGCATATAAATAATTGTCTTAATGCTCAGCTTATGTTAATACATCTTTCGTGACTCTTTTTTAAATACATGGATTATTGACCCAATACACACAAACTCTGGACTGAATCTGAACTGTAGAAGAGCAAATACTTCCATTATAACAAATGGGTTTTGGGATTGTTTATAAGTGGTTTTACAATTCTAAGCACTAACAAACAGACTATTATTTTGCAATCCCAGGAACAATAATTATCTTCAATAAGATAACGGAACAGAATGAATTGACTTGGCATCAATGCGAACTGTTGCCAGCCATAGATTCTTAGGCCAATGAGAACTGTTTGCATGTTTATTGTATATTTTTCTCCTTTGATTTTGTGTCTGTGGTGAATTTAGAGATTGTGATTTGATACCTTTTTAGGACTGGGGCTCTACAGAAATTCTCTCGCAGAACTGTGAAGTGTATTTGCAGGCAGAAAGTAGGGAGGGAGAGTGAGAGGGGAGGTACTGGGTTTTCGTGGCAGAGTGGCAACACTACAGGTAAGTCCAGGCTTTGCCTATAAGTTGTGGTAATTTTAAGGAAGACAAAACTGAATTTGACAGCAACTTTGAGTTAATTCTCAGCTGCTGCATCATAACATAAGAATGGCCATACTGGGTCAAATCAAAGGTCCATCCAGCCTAGTACCCTGTCTGCCAACAGTGGCCAAAGCCAGGTGTCCCAGAGGGAGTGAATCGAACAGGTAATGATCAAACAATCTCTCTCCTGCCATCCATCTCCACCCTCTGACAAACAGAGGCTAGGGACACCATTCCTTATCCATACTGGCTAATAGCCATTTATGGACTTAACCTCCATGAATTTATCTAGTTCTCTTTTAAACCTTGTTATAGTCCTAACCTTCACAACCTCCTCAGGCAAGGAGTCCCACAGATTGACTATGCGCTGTGTGAATAAGAACTCCTCATGTGCATCTTCATCAAGAAAACAGCACTGTGCTCTTGCCATAGTGTTACTTTTAACATTAGAGGTGTCCTGTGTGTACAGCCTACCCTGGCTGTGTGATGGGCTTAATGATCTAATACATCTCTTATGTCTCTAATGACTTTGATCCTATGAAATTTAAGTATTGTTGTTTTCTGTGAACCATATAGACTGCTACATTTGAGAACACTTTATGCAGAATGTTGCATGTCCTTTGTTTTCCTGAGTGTATTTGCCTGCCAACCCACAACGGGCTGTTTAAAAGATTTGTGTGTTGTGTTTTAAGAAGCAGAGTCAGTAAGGTATTAATCTTGGCACATTTTTATTAGGGTGATTCTTTGCTACCTTATTGGGTGGAATTCCCCATTTCCAGCACCTCTAATCTTAAGTGTTTTATAGGTTCTAATACCAAACCGTACTCTTTGGTGCTAAATTGAATTGGGTCTTCCACATAAATATCTCCTTTTGCAAATACTGGAGTTCTTTATGCTCCTAGAAGTGTGTGGTTACATCTCACGCCAAGAAGTTTTCACGCACTCCCATTCTCCAGGTCTCCTACTACTATCAGTAAGTGGCACTCCCCAGATCTTTGTGGCTTTGGACTGTTATTGGAGGTTGTAGGATGCAATATCAATTGTAGATGAGCCTCTTAAGTTCATTGTTCGGGAGCACTCTGGCAGGGTCACTAGTAGTGAACCATATGAAGCAACAGGTTCAGGGATTCTGCATGAGGTTCTGACTGGCTAAGTTACTTCTTTGAGGAGTAAAGAAGTGTGATGCCAACCCCCTCCAAAAATGTGTGTGTGGGGTATATCCTAAAGCAGACTGCCCATTGTGCTGCTTTGTTGTGAAACTGCAGACATATGTATAACCTGCCCTCTGACATATGCATTACATTTCTTAGTTACATTTAGATTATCTTTGCTGTTGGCATAGCTTTCAAAGGCTACTGGTGTTTGCTTTGCCACTAACACTCTTGGGGTTAAACACACCTTGAGGACTTTGGAGGGAGGCGGACCTGCAAAGTACAGCTGGGCTGAGGTATAAAATACTATAGCAATGACCCATTATATCCTACATGTTTGTTTAAAAGGCAGATGTTCCTTTCTACTCTTTCCTGTAAAGCACTTTCTGTGGAATATTGCAGTCTGCTGCTCGTTGCCCAGGCCACCTTTGCTTATCCAATGAGAGGATTAAAGAATATTCAGCCAATTAAGAGACCTGCATGCACACTCCCTAAAGTGGTTTATAATGTGTTGAGGGCAAGTGAATTTCTGCATCTAGCCATGTTGAAAAGCTGTGTCTTCTGTGACCTTCTCCTTTTGTAGTTTGTACTGCAGGATGGTGGCTTAATATATGCCTGCTCCTCCTGCTGGCAAAGTTCAGAAACTGAAGGCATGTGTCTGAAGGCTTTCTTTTCATAATCCCTTGGGGGGGGATGAGGGGAGAGTGTGTGTGTGTGAGATTGTACTCTCTGGCATGTAGGAACTGATTTGCTGCTGCCTTGCATATTGTGTGAACATTTACACCTGTGCAGTGAAAGTGTATTTCTGAATTGACATTGACTTAACATGGGGTAAATTACCATAAAAGATGTAGAGTCACGGCGTATGCCGCCTTTTGTACCTGATTTGACCAGGTGTGGGAAACTCAGATTGTATCTCCATCACAGCCTACACTTGGTAAAATGCAAAAGAATTCTTTTTGGTAAGTGTTCCTTTGACATTGTAGACCAGGTAGTCTTGACTGGCACCCTTTTAAAAATCTGGCGATATGTGGCCCTTTGTCCAGTTAGAAGCAGAAGGTAGACTTTTCCTGCTTCTTTCCTTAGTCATTCAGGGTGTATCTAGACTACATGGCTTCATCGACGGAGCCAGGTAGACGAGTTTACTCGGCAAAGGGAAATGAAGCGGCGATTTAAATAATCGCCGCTTCATTTACATAAAAATGGCCACTGCGCTGTGCCGACAAACAGCTGATTGGCACAGTGCGGCAGCCATTTTTATGTAAACGAAGCAGCGATTATTTAAATCGCCGCTTCATTTCCCTTTGCCGAGTAAACTCGTCTACCTGGCTCCGTCGATGAAGCCATGTAGTCTAGATACACCCTGAATGACTAAATACCTTTATCAAGGTACTCCACCCGTTACTGGGAGTGTTGCTTCATCAGAAGTGTCCATCTGATGCCTTAAATACTGGTGGTATCCACTCAGTGCTATGCTAATGATCCTTAAGTGAATCAAGGAGAGTGAAAAATCTTAATGGAAAAGCATGTGAATTTCAGGGATCA